CCCACCCCCATCTCCTACCTACTAGCCTCATCCCGCCCCCTTGACTTAGGTCCGTCCTCCCTGGACTGACCTATCTTCTCCCTCCCTCCCCACCTACACTCACCTTTACTGGCTCCATCCCTGCCTCTTTGACCTGTCTGTCTCCTCTCCACCTATCTTCTCCTCTATCCATCTTCTATCCGCCTCCCCCTCTCTCCCTGTTTATTTCAGAACCCCCTTCTCCTCCCCCATTTCTGAAGAAGGGTCTAGGCCTGAAACGTCAGCCTTCCTGCTCCTCTGATGCTGCTTGGTCTGCTGTGTTCATCCAGCTCTACATTTCAAAGTAATGTGTTGGCTGGTTTGAACATTTGAAAGCTGGACAAAATAAGAAAATATTTGTATTTAAAGCTGAATTCATAACTTCAGGATGCCCCAAAGCACTTTTTAACCAATAAAGTACTTTTTACTCAATGCTGTAATGTAGGAAATGTGGTAGCTAATTTGCACATAACGAAACATGATCATCTGTTTTCTTGAGGTAATGATAACCTCCCATCCAAAGGGCAAATTAGTATAATTGTCTCTCTTTATGGCCCCTGTGCCAGTGCAGCACTCCTTCATTACTACACAGGGAGTCTCAGTCTAAATCTTGTGTACTCTGGAGTAAAACTTTATGGGGAGATGGTAGCAGTGGTAATGTCACTGGTAAGCCCGAGGCCCAGGAGAATCCTCTGGGGCCGTGCACTCAAATTGAACCATGGTAACTTATTAATTTAATTCAATAAGATTGAGAATTGAAAGCTGGTCCCAGTGATGGAAACCTTGAAACTGTGCTAGATTGTAGTTAAAAATGCATCTAGTTCACTAGTGTCCTTTTAGGGAGTGAAATCTGCTGTCCTTAACCTGGTCTGGCCTACATGTGATTTCAGACCTTACAGCAATGCCCTGAGAAATGGCCCAGGAAGCCATTCCGTTTGAGGGGAAACTGGAGATGGGCCATAGCATCTGACAGGCTAAGTCATTCTCCTTCCAGTCTATCTATATGCCTGCATTCTGATCTCTCATCTGTGGTGGGGAAGACACTTGTTTTGAAATGTGAAATGTGAAATGTGCCTTTGCAAAGATGGATAGAAGAGTGATGCAGGGGGGAGGTGGTGGTATTATGGTAATGTCTTCTCAGTGGGCCGTAGTTTGGCCTGCTCGAAACCTACTGATTTTCCAGTGCAAACAGCTGTCCTGACAGAGTATTGCAGACTGGCACGTTCCATAGTTCAGGACTATGTGCTAGAACTCACTATGGCTTGAGGCAGCTGCTGCAGGCAGACGTTGGGGCAAAGTTACTGTCTAAAATCTCTCAGCCATTGTACACTGAGGGCCTGGAAACAGTGTCTGAATCCTTGGGATCCTATATCCCTGACAAATCGTGTATATTGTAAATAGCAAGATTACTGAAATTGTATTGAGGTATCACACTGTGGACCTTTCTGTAGTTTTCCTTTTAATGCATTTCACTGTATGCCTGACATGGAATGTATATTATACATCTCAATTGTATTATGATTTTATTGGGGCACCCAAGAATGGAACATGCTCATGGGGACAATTTGAATTGTATTGCACTTTGTAATTTTCAGGTGGAAATTTATTCTTCTGTACATTTACAAATATTTTGAATAAAGTATGTTTCTGCGAAAACAAAAATGGGGATAGATAACAAATGCTAGCCTTGCCAGTACCACCCATATCCTATGGTAGAATGAATGTATAAAAAGTAAATAAGCCCCTAGTCCTTGACTCTAGATTACCCTAAGTGTACAAGGTTAAGGGCCAACTTCTGGAAAATGGGAGTAGAACAGAGGGATGCTTGATGACTGGCATGGACACAATGGGCCAAATGCCCACTTTCTGTGCATTAAAAATTCCAGAACTCCTCAATGAGCTAGTGGTGGTTTCCCTAACTCTGTGTGGGCCACATTCAAGCCCAGTTGCTCCAGAGATGCGCAATGATATTACAAAAACAGAACTTTGCTCAGCATCTGTGGATAGAAAATAACCCGAAAGGGTGATAGAGGTCTGGAACTCACTTCTGCGAATGGCGGTTAATGCTAGATCAGTTGTTAACTTTAAATCTGAGATGATTTTTATTTTGTTAAGCAAATGTATTAAATGATACGAGCCATAGGCAGGTACTGTATACAATCACTGAAAGCCTTGCTATGTTTCGAGGCCAGTGACCTTCCCTTGTTCTGAAAGAGGGTGACTGACCTCGAAACATTAACTCTGTTTCTCTCTCCAGAGGTTCTGCCAGCCCTGCTGAGTTTCTCCAGCATTTCTGTTTTTGTTTCTGATTTCTTTTGTGTTAAAACTTTCGAGCTTTGTCCCTCCTCCTCTGTCTGGGAAGTTGCCTGCCCTGTGATTGGACGAGCGGCAGCCCCTGTCTGATTGGCCGTGTCCCCGGCCAATTGGCGGTGGAGGGCGGGGACGTTTCCTGCCCCTGCGCTGTTATTGGCTGAGCCTGCCGCGGAGGCCGGCCTGCCATTGGCTGGGAAGCGGTGGCTGTGATTGGCTGCAGCCGGGTGGCCGTGATGCGGTGAAGATGGCGGCGGTGGGACAGTGCTCGGTCGCTGTCGAGAAGGAGCGCTGGCAGCCGCTGTCCTTCACGTACGTCGAATATCCCCCAGGTACGGTTCCTTCATTTGCTCGGGGGCTGTGGCGAGGACGGATCTTCGGCCTCCCGATGACAATTTGCATTTTTTTGAAAAAAATGCATATTTTTGGTATTGCGAGCGGAGGAAGAATGACTGGCCAGCGGTCGGCTGTAAGAGAGAGCGTGGCTCGCCGGGGCTAAGAGGTGACAGCGTTTGGTTGCTGCCAAATAAGTTTCCGTTAAGATCGTATACGTCCCCCTCTCGAGTGCACATGCGGCATCCCGCCGGAAAAGTGTCCGGATCGCAGAAGTCTGCGCATGCTCGTCCGCCTCCCAATGCGCAAGCGCGACCGGTGGGCGGGGGGGGGTGGTTTGGGAGCTTTTACTGCGCGTGCGTATTGCGCCCACCTAGCGCAGCTGTCATGGTGAAAATATTTATAGCAGTGGCTAATGAGAGATTATACTGACTGCACTGGTACAAGAGTCATTTATTGACTTTTAATTCATACGCTTCTTTTGAAATTGAAAGAGTAGTATGATCTGAGAATATTTAAACTAGGATCTTATTAAAAGTTTTCTTTTTTCTATAAGGGCACTTGATAAAGTGCAATTCAGGGTCCTTCTGTGAGCAGGATTGCAGAGTTTTAAAAGTTGTCATTAGAAGTGGTTTGATCTGAGGGTGACCATGCTTCAGGTGAGAGGAGAGATTGAGAAGGAGAGTCCTTTTTGGTAACCTCTGCCAGTGCAGGCATTGAACCTATGCTGTTAGCATCACACTGCATTACAAACCAGTTAACCAGCCCAAATGAGCTAACTGACACCCCCCTCCCCTCCAGTAGAATTGTAGGAACAGGGGCCATTCAGCCTCTCCAGTCTGCTCTACCATTCAGTGAGCTCATGGCTGATTTTTGTCCTAACTCCATATACCTGCCTTTGGCCCCTGGCCCTCCTACCTAGTTTGAATTAGCCATGGTAGATCAAGTGGAGAACCCCATCACTTGCAGAGCAAATTGGCATAGAAGCCAATCAAACATTCTGTGGGCCAGTACCAGGCTGAGAAAACGATGTCATATATTTATCTACGGCTGTTTGCAGGATATCTCCAAGCAGTTTACTGCCAATTAATATTGTTGAAATAAAAACAATATGTGCTGGAAAATCTCAGCCAGTCTGGCAGCAACTGTAGAGAGAGAGCTTTTGAGTGAAGAATGACTTCTTCTTCAGAACTGTAGACACTCTTGCATTATAAGAAATGTGGTTGCTCCAAATTCCAATACACAGTTAGACAATCTGTTTTAGTGACTTTGGTTAAGGGACACATATTGAACTGGTTACTGGGGATAGTTTTTCTACTCTTATTCAAAATTAGAGAATCACAGAGCACAGGAGGAGGCTTTTTGAAGAGCTGGTGCAAATACGATTGGCCAATTGAGCAATTTTCTCAGTGCTGTTCTCTCTGCAACTTGCACATGCTTCTTTTTAGATATAAGCTTTATCTCTTTTTTTTTGAATATTTCAATTGAATCTGCCTTCACCACTATCTCAGGCCAAACCTTACAACTTACAGTTTTAAAAACTTCTTCATGTTGTTTTTGCTGCTTTGTCATTACTTTAAGTATGTGCTGCCTCATTCTTGATCTTTTCACAAGTGAGAACAGTTTTTTTCCTATCTACTCTGTCCAGACCCCAGTCGACTATGAACATCTCTATTAAATCTCCTCTCAGCTTCTCTTCAAGACAAACAGCCTAATTGGTCCAATCTGACTTCATAACTGAAGTTCCTTATCCCTGGAATCATTCTTATGAACCTTTTCTGCATCTTCTCTAATGCCTTAATATTTTTCCTGAAGTGTGGAAGCTAGAACAGGACACAGTACTCCAGCTGAGGCTGAACTAGTGTCCTGTACTAGTTCTGCATAACATTATTGCTGTTGCACTCCATGTAATAAATCCCAGGAGACTGTATGCTTTAATAACAGCTCTCAACTGATCCTGTCATTTTCAATGAATTATACATCTAAAACCCTGGTCCTGCACCCTCTTTTAGAGTTGAACCCTTTATTTTATATTGTGTCTTTGTGTTCTTCCTACCAAATGAGTTACCTCACCTTTGTCTGCGTTGAACTTCACCTGCCTGCTCATTCCACCAATTTGTCTGTATCCTTTTGAGATTCTGCACTATTCTCCTCTCAGTTTCTACTGCTTCCAAGTTTTGTATCATCTGCAAAATTTGAAATTGTACCTAGTACACCCAAATCTATGCTATTTATATATACAGTTTCTGGAAAAGCAAGGGTCCCAATGTTGGTCCCCTTGGAACTCCACTGCAAATCTTCCGCCAGCCTGACAGACGTTCGCCGCCCACCTCTCTCTCTGTCACTTTGCCAATGAAGTGTTCATGTTCTTGCTGTCCTTTTGTTCTGTAAGCTGTAGCTTTGCCACAGTTCTGTTGTGTGACATTATATCTAATCCATTCTGGAAGTAAATGAACATCATACCAGCAGCATTGTGCTGATCAACTATCTCTGTTCCCTCTTGCCAGTAATTTAGTTAAGACACACTTTTTCCTTAAATGATTGTTTCTAGAAGTTTCTACTCCACTGAATTCAAATTGGTTTGCCTTAATGACCATTTTTGAACATATGTGCAACATTTACAATTCTCCAGTTCGAAAACTAGAGTACATACGTTTAAGGTGAGAGGGGAATTATTTAAAAGAGTCCTAAGGGCAACTTTTTCACGCAGAGGGTGGTGTGTGTATGGAATGAGCTGCCAGAGGAAATGGTGGAGGCTGGTACAATTACAACATTTAAAAGGCATCTGGATGGGTACATGAATAGGAAGGGTTTAGAGGGATATGGGTAGTTCTGCTATAATGTGATAGTTGCGTTGTTGCGTGACCTCGCGCTATAGAAAATCTCCATCAAAAATTGTGTTATAGGAAAATCGCTATACCTGTACAGCAGAAAGTTCGCATTATCTAAACAGTGTCCACTATTCATCAGTTGCATTATAGCCAATTCGCGTTAACGAGGCATGCGTTATAGCAGAACCACCTGTATGGCCCAAATGCTGGCAAATGGGACTGGATTTATTTCGCATATCTGGTTGGCATAGGCGAATTGGACCAAAGGGTCTGTTTCCATGCAGTAAAGCTTTATGACTCTGACAACAACCTGTGTCTAAAGAACTCTGAAAAATAATGACCAGTGTCTCTCGCATTCCTCTGCTCTTGGATGTATCTCATCTAATCCTGATGCCTTATCTGCTTTGAAGTGCAGACAGTCTATCAAGTACCACCTCCTAATTGATTTTCCAACCCACTAATGACTGAATTACCATCTCTTTCACCATGACCTGAGAAGCATCATCTTCCTTGGTCAAGTCAGGTGCAGAGTATTAATATAATATCTCGGCCTAAGCAATTCCACACCCAACATATCAGCTCTAAGCTCCAAAGTCCTGCTGCATCCAGTCATGAGTAGTAGTGGACAATTAAACAAGGAGTGGCAAATGGAGTTTAATTTAGATAAATGTAAGTTGTTGCATTTTGGAAAGGCAAATCAGGGCAGGACTTGTACAATTAATGGTAGGGTCCTGGGGAGTGTTGCCGGGCAAAGAGACCTAGGGGTGAAGGTGCATAGTTCCTTGAAAGCGGAGTTGCAGATAGTCAGGGTATTGAAGAAGGTGTTTGGCATGCTTGCCTTCATTGGTCAGTCCATTGAGTACAGGAGTTGGGATATCATGTTGTGGCTGTACAGAACATTGATGAGGCCGCTTTTAGAATACGGTGTCCAGTTCTGTTCACTCTGCAATAGGAAGGAAGGGTTCTGAAAAAAATTATGAAGCTTTTGTGGGATTGGAGGGTTTGAGCTATATGGAGAGGCTGAATAGGCTGGGGATTTTTTTCCTTTGAATGTTGGAGGCTGAGTGACTTTATAAAATCATGAGGGGCATGATTCGAGTGAATAGCCAAGGTCTTCCCCATCCTTCCTGCGGGTAGGGAAGTCCAAAACTGGAGGGCATAAAGTTTAAAGTGAGAAGGGAAAGATTTACAAAAGTCCTGAGGGGCAACCTGAAACCAGAGGGTGATGCGTGTATGGAACAAACGGCCAGAGAAAGTGATGGAAGCAGGTACAATTTTGTAATTTAAAACGCATTTGGATAGGTACATGAATAGGAAGGGTTTACAAGGGAAATTGGCTGAATGCTGGCAAATGGGACTAGATTAGTTTAGACATTAGGTCGGCATGGATGGGTTGGACTGAAGAGTCTGTTTCCATGCTGTATAATGCTATGACTGTAACTGCGGGAGCAGGCTCTTCAGATGTTCCCATTCACAGCTGTGCAAAAGATAAGGCTGAAGTATTTTAAAAAAGCTTCAGCCAGAAGTGCTGAGGGGATGGTTCATCTTTGCCTTCTCTGAAGGTCCCCAGAATCACAGATGCCAGATCTTAGCCAATTCAATTCACTCTAAATGCTATCAAGAAACAGCTGAAGGCACTGGATGCTACAGGAGCCCTAACAATATTCCGGTAAAATACTGAAGATGTGTGGTTTAGAACTTTGTGTCCCCTACTCAGTCTGTTCCAGTACTGTTATGTGTTGACGTCTGCCTGACAACATGGATAATTGCTCAGGTATGTCCTTTCCCAACAAACACAGGACAAATCCAACCTGGCCAATTATCACCCCATCAGTGTCCTCTTGGCCATCAGTAAAATGATGGAAGTGGTCATAGACAGTGCTGCCAAGCAACACTTGCTTAGCAATAACCTAAGATATGGGAGCAGAATTAAGCCATTCGGCTCATCTAGTCTGCTCTGGCGTTCAGTCATGGATGATGTGTCGCAACCCCGTTCCCCTACCTTCTCCTCATTAACCCTTGATCCCTATACCAATTGAGCCCATTATCTCTGTCTTAAAGACTTGGCCTCCATATCTATGACGATGAGTTCCACAGGTTCACCATCCTCTGGCTGAAAAAATCCACCTCATCTGAGTTCTGAAAGGTTGCCTCTTTACTCTGAGACT